GTAAGTTCTGTGATATTGATTATACGTAAACATTATCAATGCCGCTGATTGGATATCACTGTTGTCTTTAACTGAGATAACACACCTATTCAACAGACAATAGACAAAATAGAACATTAATGTTAATTGTATTAGTATATATTTCATATCTACCGTCTTTCATTACTGGTCTTCTCGTGTTTCCCATTTAACTATATCATATATATTGTCACCAATTGTCTGCCCTTGTTTCATAGTTCTGGTTTACTTTTTATGATAATTTATCTGTTCGTTTTTCATATTTACTTTGTTTTATCAATCTTCATCAGTTATCTGCCCTTGTTCAATAGTTCTCCTGTTTTATTCCTTATGTAAGCTTATCTCCTCGTGTGTTTTATTTACTCTGCTGTACAAAATACCATAATTTATCAAACTGATTCACCATTATAAGAGGTACTTACAATAATCATACCTGATTAACCAAGCGTTTTCTTAATCCCTCCTTCCCCTCAATGTGCATCACCGACATTTGCAAATAATCACGTCTTGTAATCCCAAAAAACAATCAAAAACACATACTTGTACAAAAAAATCTCTAACGATTACACGTGAAAATTTGGTAGTTACCGTTTATAGGCAGTTACCGTTTATAGGTAGCTACCGTTTATAGACAGTTATCGTTTATAGGTAGTTACCGTTTATAGGCAGTCACCGTTAATAGGTAGTTACCTTTTATAGATAGTTACCGTTTATAGACAGTCACCGTTTATAGACAGTCACCGTTTATAGACAGTCACCGTTTATAGGAAGTTACCGTTTATAGGCAGTCACCGTTTATAGGAAGTAATCGTTTATAGGCAGTCACCGTTTATAGGTAGTTACCTTTTATAGACAGTCACCGTTTATAGACAGTCACCGTTTATAGGAAGTTACCGTTTATAGGCAGTCACCGTTTATAGGAAGTTACCGTTTAAAGGCAGTTACCGTTTATAGACAGCTGCCGTACATATGGAGTCATTGTTTATAGGCAGTGACCGTTTAAAGGTAGTTACCGTTTAAAGGCAGCTACCGTTGATATGGAGTAACCGTTTATATGTACTTACCGTGTATAGACATTCACCTTTTATAGGTAGTCACCGTTTATAGGCAGTGACCGTTTTAGGCAGTTACCGTAGATATGGAGTCACTGTTTATAGGTAGTTACCGTTTATAGGTAGTCACCGTTTATAGGCAGTTACCGTTTAAAGGCAGTTACCGTTTATAGACAGCTGCCGTACATATGGAGTCACTGTTTATAGGCAGTGACCGTTTAAAGGTAGTTACCGTTTAAAGGCAGCTACCGTTGATATGGAGTAACCGTTTATATGTACTTACCGTGTATAGGCATTCACCTTTTATAGGTAGTCACCGTTTATAGGCAGTGACCGTTTTAGGCAGTTACCGTTTATAGGCAATTACGTTACCGTTTAAAGTTAGTTACCGTTTAAAGGCAGTTACCGTTTATAGACAGCTACCGTACATATGGAGTCACTGTTTATAGGCAGTGACCGTTTAAAGGTAGTTTCCGTTTAAAGGCAGCTACCGTTGATATGGAGTAACTGTTTATATGTACTTACCGTGTATAGGCAGTCACCGTTAATAGGTAGTCTCCGTGTATAGGCAGTGACCGTTTATAGGTAGGCACCGTTTATAGGTAGTAAGTGTTTATAGGAAGTTACTGTTTATAGGTAGTTACCGTTAATAGGTAGTATCAGTTTATAGACAGCTACCGTTCATAGGTAGTTACCGTTTATATGTACTTACCGTGTATAGGCAGTCACCGTTTATAGGTAGTCACCGTTTATAGGCAGTGACCGTTTTGGGCAGTTACCGTTTATAGGAAGTTATCGTTTATAGGTGGTTACCGTTTACAGGCAGTCACCGTTAAATGTAGTTACCGTTTATAAGTAGGCACCGTTTATAGGTAGTTACTGTTTATAGGTATATACCGTTTATAGGTAGTTACCGTTTATAAGTAGGCACCGTTTATAGGTAGTTACCGTTTATTGGCAGTAACCGTTTATAAACAGCTACCGTTGATATGGAGTCATGGTTTATATGTACTTGCCGTGTATAGGTAGTTACCGTTATAGGTAGTTACCGTGTATAGGCAGTGACCGTTTATAGGTAGGCACCGTTTATAGGTAGTAAGTGTTTATAGGAAGTTACTGTTTATAGTAGTTACCGTTAATAGGTAGTATCAGTTTACAGACAGCAACTGTTCGTAGGTAGTTACCGTTTATATGTACTTACCGTGTATAGGCAGTCACCGTTTATAGGCAGTCACCGTTAAATGTAGTTACCGTTTATAAGTAGGCACCGTTTATAGGTAGTTACTGTTTATAGGTATATACCGTTTATAGGTAGTTACCGTTTATTGGCAGTAACCGTTTATAAACAGCTACCGTTGATATGGAGTCACCGTTTATATGTACTTACCGTGTATATGCAGCTACCGTTATAGGTAGTTACCGTTTATAGGTAGTTGCCGTTTATAGGTAGTTACCGTTTATAGGTAGTTACCGTTTATAGGTAGTTACTGTTTATAGGTAGTTACCGTTTATAGGTAGTTACTGTTTATAGGTAGTTACCGTTACAGTTTATAGGCAGTTACCGTTTATAGGCAGTTACCGTTTATATGTAGTAACCGTTTATAAGTAGGAACCGTTTATAGGTAATTACCGTTTTAAGACAGTTACCGTTTATAAACAGCTACCGTTGATATATAGTTTATATGTTACCGTGTATATTAATAGTTAGTTACCGTTAATAGATAGAGATGATATATAGTTAGTTACCATTAATAGTTAGTTACCGTTAATAGGTAGAGATAGGTAGATATATAGGTAGTTACCTTTTATAGGTAGTTACCATTAATAGTTAGTTACCGTTAATAGGTAGAGATGATATATAGTTAGTTACCATATATAGGTATTCACCATTTATAGGCATTTACCGTTTTTAGGAAGTTACCGTTTACCTGGATATTTTCTATAGATGAAAATAAACGCCACAAAATCCAAGTATGAATGTATCAACTGTAATAATTAATTGATAAATAAAAAAGTAAAATTGAAAATTAACAGAAGAAGAGAACAAACTGAGCACTTGGCTTCCAATTTGGCCCTTGCTGCAATTCAGGTTTGAAAGACCAGAGAATCTTTTTTGTGCAGGCATAATTGTAGAAATACCAGCTAGGACTAGTGAATGGAACTTGGGACTTTTTTATAGTCATAGTGATCTCATTTTGTCTGTAATTCAATTTATTTTGTTATTTGTTTATACCACGTCACTATCTTAATATAATGTAGTAAAATACTGTTTAAATTAATCACATACATGTACAGTAGAATGATACTTCAGAATATTTGTGAACTTTTTTAATATTCCACCGTGACACCATTGATTGATTAACAACTTTCGGATAAAAAAAGTCTCTCGTCCGCCAGTCAGTTCAGTGTTAGTGAATGTCTCTGAAAGAATTGTGTAAAATGATTTACGTGATGACGTGACACTTGCTTGAATAAAACTTCTTGCACGGACGTTGTGTTTGTCCTCCGCAAGTGTAAAAATACTTACGCATTATGTACATATTCATTTTGTGTGTTACCTTATCAATAAAAGTTATCATATTAGTAGGTAAATTTAACAGAATACCAAAGATCGTTATTCCGGTAGTAACATTTCGAATTTGTATGTACGTATACGTGCTAATGTAATTACCTCTATTACAAAACAGAACGATAATTGTGGGCTCATGACAAACTTTACTAAAAGTCTTCCTTTGGTAGAAATATCATTATGTTACACTTATTTTATGATAATAAGGTGATATTGGGATATACTATATGTGAAGTTAGGTTTTTAGATCACACCACACATGGCGTTTTAGTATTATCCTACACATGAGATTTTAGATGTTTATAATATTCTTGCACTGTGTGTAAAGGAGTAGTTAGTTACGATACCAGTACATGTAAATTTGATACGATTCAGAAACTGTGTGTAAGATATGTTAAAGTGTAAACTTCGTTTGTGCACCTTATATCTGTATCATTGACAAGAGAGATAACTCTAGGCTATGTCAGTAACAAGAGAGATAGCTCTAGGCTGTCAGTAACAAGAGAGATAACTCTAGGCTATGTCAGTGACAAGAGAGATAACTCGATGCTATCTCTGGTGATATACATTTTTCCTATACGTAGTCTGCCCTGATTTTCCAGGTAGTTTACTCTTGTCCGGATTACCGTTTCGGTGAATATTAAAAAGTAATGAAGACTTAATAAAAAATCTAATGATTCATCTTTATTTTCTCTACAACAAATTACAATACACTGACAGGGTAAAATCGATGTACAGTTAATGACGCTCACGTAAAATATGCACAAAGAACAAAGCCATGTAAATGTAAGGATTTCAGGTTAAACTACAACATATTGCAAACTGAATGGGAAACATGGCTGTTGCTATCACATGTGGATAGTTTACGACCGACAAATAAAATTTGAAATAATTATATGTCTAGTTGCTTACGTAGTAAGCAAGATTAATGTTGATACGTTTTATGTCTTTGATTTGAAGTGCAGGGATTATTTTGAATCCATTTCTTTAAAAGATACAAGTAATAAAAACACCGACATGTTGACGAAATGTTAATTTAAACACAAATTCAATGAAAGAAAGATAAGATATGAACAAAAGAAAGGTTTACACGGAAACTCATGAAAAAAAGTATCAGGAATATAAGACCAGGCATCTCGGAAGAGTGAGTGTCGCCTGCTTCATCGACGACACCGCCACGTAAATCGTGGTCAGTCCATGTAAGTAATGTCACAATCCCAAATGAGAACAATGTATACAAAACGGAATCTACAGGTAACGTAACATACATCCAACAGTTTCATACAATGCTGTCAGTCAATATATATATAGATTTCTTCGTGCGTTTTCAATACATCATTTGTACAACTACTATGCAATATTTAACTCAGAATCGTCCTTTCTAAGTACATCTGAACGTACCACGGCGACCAAACTCCCATATCATAGGTCCAGAAGACCTCATCCTCGGTAAATAGTCTCTCCTCGATTGCATTTTGAATGAGCAGTCCGTTTGGGCTGCTTTGTCCACATTTACTTCCAGCTGTGAACCAGAAGCCGCAATTCCGTACAACACCACAATGGAGACTTGAAATTTGATCAAGGTCACGATCCATGGTTGTGAAATTTGAACCATTGACATAAACAAGCGAGTCCCCAGCATCAGGATATAGGTGAGGACTGGAAGACTGAAATGTCATAACAAAATAGTCGGTTTCATCCTCTACCCTAAACCCGTGGTAAGCCCTCTGTTTGATCGTATTCCAGCCAGCACCTGCCAGCTCGATGATGAGGTTGTAGTCCGGATAGGATCTCGTTATGTAGCTCTGATAAATATTGCCTAACCATAAGTTGGAGTCATCGAAAGAAAAACCTTCTGCATATTCTGTCCAGGTCTTGCTGAAGACGGCGGACTTAAGGACGTGACGCTGTATGTAGAGCCGTGGCTTGGGGTAATTAGCCAACAGACTACAGAGGACAGTGATTGGGTTCGGAGACAGAACAGGTTGTATCTGGAAATAACCCTCTTGTCCGGTGTAGTAAGAATACTGACCCATTTCTGCGCAATCTGTGATATACATAAATACATACCTATTGTTAAAACTGATTTTACTGTATTATGAAAGATACACATTGAAAACAGAGCATAAAAAATAAACTTGCATCTGTCTGTAGTATGTCAATTGTACTGTTTCTAGTTAAAAAAACCAAGCGATGACAATTTTAAAATTTCTTGTTGTAATCAATATTATCACTTGTAGTCCACACTGTTTTGCCATACCAAACAACGTCACTTACCTGAAAACAAATTTTATATACCAAACTTATCTCTAACACACATTAACAGATTAATTCCACGTGTCCGACGTTTACCTGTCGCCAGACGTTCGCACGTCGGTCCAACGTATCCTCCCTGACAGTGACAGCTGTCATTTTGCAAAGTTCCACCGTTCAAACAAGTCAAGGTATTGCTGATCTGAAAGTATTTAAATATGGCATTTTCTTTAAAGCAAAACATGTCTTTATTTTAAAGTTTTGAAAAAATATTCCTATTATAAACTTTTGTGCAAGATATCGTCAAATGACAGAAACACTTCCCAACAATTGGTTTCGAGAGATGCAGGTTGATGAAAATTATGGGAAAGTTTTACTGTGGATATATTGAACTCACGGAGAAATATATTTCTGTATGCGATACGAGGTTGGACGTGTTTGTAGTTTGCCTTTTGGTTCCGTTGTAATATACCCTGTTCTCATTTGGGAACGTTACATTGCTTGCTTGGTTTGACCAGGGTTTATATGGCAGGTGTCCTCGATGAAGCAAAAGACACTTACTATTCCGGAACGCTTTGTCTTTTTTCAGGAGTCACTGTGAAGATATTTCTTTTGTTCATAAGCTGCCCTGGTTTTGTCAAATTAAAGCTTGGGTTATGACTAGTTAGTAAATCTAGAAGTTGGAATGTACTGCCTGTTTTATAAAATTTCCATTGGGATATTCTGTTCATACTTGTGTATCTTGCGATCCGATCTTTTGAAAAAACATTTAATCATGCCTTCCCTAACAGAGCATGTGTTCCTTTACAGAACAAGCTTTCCCTCACAGAACACATGTTCCCTTACAAAACACATGGTCCTTTACAGAACACGCGTTTCCTTACAGAACATGTGTTCTTAATTGTCTTGTTCTTTTCTATAGACCTTTGCACGTTTAACAACGATTAAAGTATAGCTGAAAGTTACACTAACCATGTATGTAGGCTGATATTTTAAGGAATTCAAGACCAAGCAATTACTATCGAATGACACTAATTTGTTAATATCTTCAATGTTTACTAGAAAAAACATACTTATCATATTTTCAAATGTACGAAAAATCAAGAATTTCTTACAAACACGCACATCATGATGATATATTTAAAATTCTATAAATATTTCATTTATGTTTATGTATTCATCTCCCAAACCTATTTAATATACTAGCGCGAATTTGCTAAAACCTTCTAAATTATCCTACATTCCTATTACATTCGTACCTAGTTATATAACATAGAAATTGACACTGCCTCAAAATAACCCCAATTTGATGCACATTTATATATATATATATTGGTACTGTACAAATGATTTTAATCTGTTTCTTGACATCACTTAAGGTTTGGTTCTTCGTTTAAAAGAAACTTTCATAAACATCCAAACATAATTGAATTCGAATTATCATATTTGTTGTATGCACTTGTAAAAAGACAATTAATTATTAACCATTAATTTTTGGAGTAAAACTTGCAGAGAAAATTTCGTCTTTCTCCAGGAAATTAATGTTTTTTTCCCACTTAAACAGATGTTATTTTATTTTGCATTGTTGTTTTTCATTACATCCTCAATAAAGTGGCTGCGTTTGTGTGGTGGGGAAGGGTAAGACAGTTATAACCATTGGAGTGATTTACCAATATGATTAACATAAACAAACTCGACAGAACGTTACCTTCTCTAAAATCTTGGAGCCCGGTATTGACTGACTGGGATCACAGTTGGAAGATAGTGTGATGTTGCTGTGACTACAGATCTGATTTGTTGCTACTTCAGCCAGGCTGAGACAGTTAGGATCATCCATACAAGTCAATACACATTCCATCAGATCCAGACCCGTCAATGAAACAGAAACATCTCCAGCCAGGAAACCAGTGTTCACACAATCCTGTCTCACTATAAAACTAGCCTGCCGAAACTCCGCTACGATCATTGGTAAAACGAATAGTTTTAGATACAAGATCAAGTACCTGCTATCCATAACGAAGGTATCCGTGTTTCTCCTCGTCCTATAGAATATTTACATCTCACACAGGAAACCTTGTGTTATTTAATTCCTTCTGTCTATTGATCGGCTTTGTAGACGAATAAAACAAATATTATCATAACAAGAAATCATTAATCTAGTGTTTACTATTGATGTTGACCATGGAATCAATTTCGAGATGAATGTCTGATTATGTAAATACACTTCGGCTTAATTGAACTTTAATAAAGAGGTTAAACTCATTGTAAAGGAATCTGTAACGGCAGTCTAGTCCCAGGGGTAGCTAACACGGATACAATATAGAGAACGGAAATTCCAACATGAATATGGAAATCTAATATTGTTATCGTCAGTGTTTGGTCTACCTGTAAATGAGTATGTCTGAAATACTTGTAAGACTTGAATGAAAGATACAGACATTACACGGGAAAGATTTGTGTCAGTGTTTCACAATATGTTTGTATTCACATAAATATGGGATGATTATAAATAAAATATCAAGAAACCAACATGGCAACGTAATCATAATTCAAACTCAAATTCCATACAACTAGGGCAAACTATGAACAAAAGAAAGATCTACACGGATACTCATGAAAAGTACAAGGAAAGTAGGACCAGGTGTTCCAAAAGAGTAAGCGTATTATGCTTCATCGAAGACACCCGCCATGTAAACTTTGGTCAATTCAAGTTATTTCACGTTCTCAAATGAGGACAAGGTATACAAGACCGGAATCGACAGAACAACTATTGAGCATGAAACACGTTCAGTTTCATGTCACCCAAAGAAATGGAACATTTTTCAATGAGATCACAATGGCCATAAAACTTTCCCATAATTTTCATCAATTTGCATCTTTTGAAACCTTGTTTTATGAGTTTGTCAGTCAGTTGACGACACCTTGCATGAAAATCGTGATAATGGGAAGAGTCCCTGTAATATCGAATAAACTGTGACTGTATAAATACCATAGGTTGGAGATGCTAGGATGTTGCTATTCAGAAATGAAAAATTCACAATAGGAATCATGCAACTTAATGGAAAGCTGTTCATGTTGGTTTCGTTGTAGGAAAAGATCGAGATGATCAGCTAATGTAGAAGAGTATGTCGTATCTTTGATTTCCAGATCTGGTGGACATACACGATGGATGTAGTCAATATGTTTATATACATATATCCAACTTTTGAAACAAAATGTATTACACATTATTATCTAGAGCGTTACATATCGCTGATTAAGATATTGTATCAGACCAAATTGTTTGCAACAGTAAATCATATGATAAACAGACGTTTTCAGTCGTTTCCTTCTCTTGTACAATCTGTTGAATACTTTGTGATTATTTTTCATTTTTTATACCGCTGGAGGCGCCACAAACAAACACCTAAGACTCATTTCATTAATCTCAAATTATTGTAAAATCGAATAATATCTTCTGTCTATCGTAATAGTACATCAACATATGGTTTGAGTGGTAACAATAAGATAATTCTCTTGCTCTAAGATATATTGATATTCTGTACATTGTGTAAGGTTCGAGTGCTGTCTTCGTCATTCTTTCTTTGGTGACGTCAAAATGAATATTATGTTATGACGATATAACACATTTAGCCAATCATATGTCGGTAAGGCCAAACAGCACGTGTGTCATAAAATGGGCGTAACTACAACGATAGCGGGAAAGTCCTGTTAAGTTACCATTTTAATGTCCCTTTTTCCCTTATAAGAAAAAGTCGTGGTAAATTTGGAAAATATTGACATTTCATGGATCACAAATCGCCAAAATAAATATTGATATACAGAACTAATATATCATTGGCGCCTGTGTTTATCACCGTGACAAAATGTTTGCGGAAAGGTGGTTATACTAATATAATAAAATATCTATCACTCCAGTGTTGTATTCAGAGAAGTTACTTAGTTCAGAAGACTATGTAATTAAACATAATTATGTTTACTTTTACATCGACAAAATGTTTACATTAAAAAGTCAGCACATGGTGATTCTCACGGTAAAGAAATACATACTGTTATGTCTTAACAATCTACACTAACCATAAATCGATATCAAACATCGTATCCTTTAGTAAGTATTGGATTGACGTCTTAATTAATGAATGATGTTTTACTGACTGCGTCATCAGAAAGCACCCGCGTCAATTGCTTTAATTTATCAATATTTTCTGATAGTTTTATTACCGTGTTTCCAAACACTCAGTATTTTAAAAAATCAATTTAAAATGTCTAGAAGATTAAGTGTTATTGTTGAACAGATAGTAATTAACATAAAGTAAAACTGATAAGATATTATAAAGGGCCGAACAAGATACCCCCTGTCTATCAGTAGCTAGGGGTTGTTTTATAGGTGCTGCAATTCAGAACAGTTAATGTACTTCATAAAGTACAGAGAGAAAAAAAGATGGTAAAAAAGATGGTATCATGACTTGCCAGAGGGAATGGTCAGTTCCGTAATTCAATTGCATTCCGTTATTTGTCTCGAGTTATGTTCTATCAATGATAGATGTTCCACCTATCAGTCTGTCCAGACCAATTGATATAAAAGTTGACGGAATATCACAATAATTTATACTATCTGTATATGTAACTGAGGTGCTACTATTTTAAACACTAAACCTATTGATAACATAATGTTACAACTACACTCGTAAATAACTTTGTGGGGCTACAATATTATGATCAGATACACAAGTATAGATGTACAAGGTGGTTTTGATACAAGATTTTTAAACTTGTTTTTATAAAGTAAATGTAGTTCCAGGTTATATGTATTGATAGATTGATGACAGCTTTTGTTTTTTTTATTTTAAATATACAAAGTTAAACCGTGTTAAAAATCATGTCCCTCGCTTTTTTTCCCCAGATTACAAGGTATTTGAATTTTTGTACTGCAACAACATTTACACGGAAAAGAACTGTTCAATAAACAACAAAAACATTTACTTCAAGGAAAGTTTAAAATTTTTATTTAACAATAAATATTTTGTAAACATAAAATATTTGTTACAGAAAACTGAGCAAATTGAAGTCTCCTGCACAACCCTTTCACACCTGATAGAAAATATGTGATGCTTTCATCAGATTGGAAGTAACTGTATGCCCATTGTTAGGGGATTGTACTTGTCCCTTCTCATACATTTATATATCAACATCCTGAAAATTCTGTGTTTATTGGTAACATGAAATAATGACCCTACAAGAAACTTGTCTATATTACAGTAGGCTAATAATTAATTAACGATAACTTACCAATACTATTTGTCTAATCGATACAAAGCTGATCTTTTTACAATCAAAACAAGGAAAATCAACATTGTTTTATGACAGTATCTACCAAGAGTTGTCTTTCCTTACATGAACTTGCATGTGAGTAAGTACCTTAAGGTAAATGTTTAATGCCAATAATCTTGTCCCACCATATTGTAACCTGTTAGAAACTCTGGTTAATGATATCTCACAGAGACCACACTTAAAGGACAAACCACCATGCTGATAATCTCATCAATTCATGATTCTAGTATGAAAATAAACATGAATACCTCTCCTGAACAATAGATTCTCCTGTATCATCTCATTTTTTAACAACTTTCAGAAAAATCATAAATATCAGCACTATGAATGAGCACCGGGGTTCATCCAAACTGCTCAGAACAGAAGTGACACTTGGCTTGTACACCAGTATATAATCTAGGTAGTTTCTGAATCTGATGCCTGCAACAACATTTACACAGAAAAGAACTGTATACCGCATTGCCCCGTAAACAGCCAGACAGTTGTGATGCCTTGTAATAGATGGCGGCTATCTCACTGAACAACATACAGAAAGACTGTTGCATATCATCCACAGCCATCAGCGTAAGTGTCACACCCAAGGACATAACTACGTCAGTACAGAGTGGTCTGATTCTCAAACTCCTGAGAAACACAAACCACTACAGGTAAAGTATGTTACGTCATGCACTTCTGATCATCAGCTGACGTTGTGTCAATTTTCTGACTGTATCTTATAAATATAGATATAAACCTTACATAAACTATTACACCTGTGTATCTCTCACATTTAAACACCACTGTGTGACCGACATAACATCCCAAAAATGTTATAGTGAAATTGTCCTCATATTCAACCGGGTTTAACATCAATCCAGAAAATGTTTTACTGCAGTATATTATACATAGATGTTTTCCCCACACATCACTAAAAGTACATGTGTTGGACAGCCTTCCTGATAAACCTGTTCACATGATGCTAGAAAATATTTGGTATTTCATACCTAATCTAACACACATGTTTATACAAGATGAAATGTTTTGTGGTACACAATGATCAAGCTGTTTGAGTATGAGATCCAACCCTGGATTCAATATAAATGTCACATGTTCACTAAGTCTGTGAGTTGTCAGGTTGAACCAAGTTGTTGTTTTAGAGCAGCGTTTTCCTTCTGTAGTTGTGAGATACGTGCCTGGTTTTGTTCGAGGCGATTCTCCAAAGACTGTATCAAAGGAGCACTCATCACTTCCATGATGTGACAAAGTGACTTTTAATTAGATACATACTGTGGATGTAAACTTTCCACCTGACATAGATTTAATTAGATACATACTGTGGATGTAAACTTTCCACCTGACATAGATTTAATTAGATACATACTGTGGATGTAAACTTTCCACCTGACATAGATTTAATTAGATACATACTGTGGATGTAAACTTTCCAATTAAAGATGACATATTAGATTTAATTAGATACATGTAAATACCTGACATAGATTTAATTGTGGATGTAAACTTTCCACCTGACATAGATTTAATTAGATACATACTGTGGAGGAAAACTTTCCACCTTGTGTAGATGTATAAAGGTATATAATACAACAAATTCTATGAATTAATTAGATACATACTGTGGAGGAAAACTTTCCACCTGACATAGATTTAATTAGATACATACTGTGGATGTAAACTTTCCACCTGACATAGATTTAATTAGATACATACTGTGGATGAAAACTTTCCACCTGATGTAGATTTAATTAGATACATACTGTGGATGAAAACTTTCCACCTGATGTAGATTTAATTAGATACATACTGTGGATGTAAACTTGTGGATGTAAACTTTCCTGATGTAGATTTAATTAGATACCTGACATAGATTTAATAGATACATACTGTGGATGTAAACTGTAGATTTAATTAGATACATACTGTGGATGTAAACTTTCCACCTGACATAGATTTAATTAGATACATACTGTGGATGTAAACTTTCCACCTGATGTAGATTTAATTAGATACATACTGTGGATGTAAACTTTCCACCTTGTGTAGATGTATAAAGGTATATAATACAACAAATTCTATGATTTAATTAGATACATACTGTGGATGTAAACTTTCCACCTGATGTAGATTTAATTAGATACATACTGTGGATGTAAACTTTCCACCTGACATAGATTTAATTAGATACATACTGTGGATGTAAACTTTCCACCTGACATAGATTTAATTAGATACATACTGTGGATGTAAACTTTCCACCTGATGTAGATTTAATTAGATACATACTGTGGATGTAAACTTTCCACCTGATGTAGATTTAATTAGATACATACTGTGGATGTAAACTTTCCACCTGATGTAGATTTAATTAGATACATACTGTGGATGTAAACTTTCCACCTGATGTAGATTTAATTAGATACATACTGTGGATGTAAACTTTCCACCTGATGTAGATTTAATTAGATACATACTGTGGATGTAAACTTTCCACCTGATGTAGATTTAATTAGATACATACTGTGGATGTAAACTTTCCACCTGATGTAGATTTAATTAGATACATACTGTGGATGTAAACTTTCCACCTGACATAGATTTAATTAGATACATACTGTGGATGTAAACTTTCCACCTGACATAGATTTAATTAGATACATACTGTGGATGAAAACTTTCCACCTGACATAGATTTAATTAGATACATACTGTGGATGTAAACTTTCCACCTGATGTAGATTTAATTAGATACATACTGTGGATGTAAACTTTCCACCTGACATAGATTTAATTAGATACATACTGTGGATGTAAACTTTCCACCTGATGTAGATTTAATTAGATACATACTGTGGATGTAAACTTTCCACCTGATGTAGATTTAATTAGATACATACTGTGGATGTAAACTTTCCACCTGATGTAGATTTAATTAGATACATACTGTGGATGTAAACTTTCCACCTGATGTAGATTTAATTAGATACATACTGTGGATGTAAAACTTTCCACATACTGTGGATGATGTAGATTTAATTAGATACATACTGTGGATGTAAACTTTCCACCTGATGTAGATTTAATTAGATACATACTGTGGATGTAAACTTTCCACCTGATGTAGATTTAATTAGATACATACTGTGGATGTAAACTTTCCACCTGACATAGATTTAATTAGATACATACTGTGGATGTAAACTTTCCACCTGATGTAGATTTAATTAGATACATACTGTGGATGTAAACTTTCCACCTGACATAGATTTAATTAGATACATACTGTGGATGTAAACTTTCCACCTTGTGTAGATTTAATTAGATACATACTGTGGATGTAAACTTTCCACCTGATGTAGATTTAATTAGATACATACTGTGGATGTAAACTTTCCACCTGATGTAGATTTAATTAGATACATACTGTGGATGTAAACTTTCCACCTGATGTAGATTTAATTAGATACATACTGTGGATGTAAACTTTCCACCTGATGTAGATTTAATTAGATACATACTGTGGATGTAAACTTTCCACCTGATGTAGATTTAATTAGATACATACTGTGGATGTAAACTTTCCACCTGATGTAGATTTAATTAGATACATACTGTGGATGTAAACTTTCCACCTGATGTAGATTTAATTAGATACATACTGTGGATGAAAACTTTCCACCTGACATAGATTTAATTAGATACATACTGTGGATGTAAACTTTCCACCTGACATAGATTTAATTAGATACATACTGTGGATGTAAACTTTCCACCTGATGTAGATTTAATTAATACATACTGTGTAGTAGATTTAATTAGATAATACTGTGGAATTGTAGATTTAATTACATACTGTGGATGTAAACTTTACTGATGTAGATTTAATTAGATACATACTGTGGATGTAATTAAGTCAATATCATAATACACCAAGTCTGGGTTTTCTCTTTATGCTTTTGTGACTAGGTAGATAGAAGAGTACCTACAATTTTGTCAGTTTTTTTTAGATGAGTCCAGAACGCCATTTTCAATGAGTTCCAATACTAAGAGATATGTTAAGACCATTGTGTACCAACCTAGATGACTATTTCTAGTAGAACATGGTGTACCAGACTTAGTGGCATTGTAAAGTAGAAGTGTACTAACCTTCGTATTTTTGTCTTGGTTAAAAACAGAGAATATGAGACCTATGAAGCCTTCATCCATCATTTGATACATTGCTTGTGTCCGCACATCTGCAAACAAATAGCCAACTCAATTATTCTCCTGTGATGGGGAGAAGATGTTTCTTGAGTGTATCATTTGATGTCACATCAGTCCATCAAAGTCACATGTGATACAGGAGAGTTCAAAGTTTTACAGTAATGAGGACCACACATTTATATGACACCAATACAATAATACACTTCTTACCTACGTGAGACGGCCAGACAGTGATATGTGGATGAGAGTGATACCAGCCTAAAACTCGCAAGGGGCGCTTTAGTTCTTTTGCTAAATCCTGCAAAAATAAAAACCGGAAAATTAATTTCAAAACAAGATGTGTTTGTGAAACACTATGCCCCCAGTTGCAACAAAATTAAAATCATATGAATATAAATTCTGGTACCACCTGAAAGGTCTTGTCACCAGGAACACACTTGCTAAATATGAAACCCTTACCTCTTATGGTGCAATAGTTCTGGACAAGCTTAAAGTTGACAACAAACAGACAGCACAAAAACAATATCCCCCTTCCCCGATATTTTTCATTATAAGAATGCTAGTCCAACCGACATAAAACAGTGTGTAGGAATCTAACATCAGTTTATATATAAATGATTTACCAACTGAGTAAGGATATGTCAGTTATGAAATAAAGTTTGGACAACTTTCCAAAAGAAATCATCACAAGATTGTGTTTACTGTTGCTTACATCCTATGAACAGACAAGGTCATTTAAGAATGAACCAAGTTGAGATAGTGGAGGAAAGCCGGTGTTCTTTGAAAAGAAAAAAAAAGACCTGCAGCTAGTACCGGGTGACTGCCCTACATAGACTTCACATCCATGACCCAGAGGTGAAGGGTTAATGATATCACATCCATGACCCAGAGGTGAAGGGCTAATGATGTCACATCCACGACCCTGAGGTGAAGGGCTAATGATGTCACATCTACGACTCTGAGGTGAAGGGCCAATAATGTCACATCCGCGACCCAGAGGTGAAGGGCCAGTGATGTCACATCCACCACCCTGAGGTGAAGGGTTAATGATGTAACATCCACGACCCTTAGGTGAAGGGTTAATAATGTAACATCCATGACCCTGAGGTGAAGAGCTGATGATAGAGATGATCATATGCCTTAACCGTTCAACCTTCACATCATTTTTGTGCCAGCACTTCCATTTGGACAACAGGCATGAAAACATTATTCTTTAAAAGTGAAAACCATATTTATATATCATTAATAGATAGGTTTGCCAATGAAACAAACCTCTGGGCAATAATTGATGATGTTTAATGAATATTATCAAGTTATTGTCCAGAAGGATGTAAATCATAGGACCATCATCTCAGTAAACATTTCTTTTTGTATGATGTTGAGCCAGTAAAGGTCAAGTAATGCTAATTTTAACAGTCTTACTGTGTACCTCTGCTTTTGTGGAAGCATCTGATAGCTGTTCTGGGGAGATCTCCACTCTGTCAGGCTGTTTATCTGAACGTCTCAACATTATCACTGCAGATATATGAGACACTCTGTTCTCATCAATCTGAAAGAAAAAGTGAATCTAGCATTAATAAGAAATCTGAAATAGATTAATTTTTTTGTTGTTGGCACTGACGAGGACATTAAAGGTTGTACTATACAGTGCCACGTTCCTATTAAGCAGGGTTTTCCATAATTTTGTTAGTAGTAGGCTGTGTAGTGAAAGTAGGAGGCTGGCCTGCCGTGTACGTGTAGTCGTGTACGGAACATTATTACGGAACTGGATTGGTGTAGGCGGCCAAATGATCAAAGTAGCCAGTCAAATTGGCCGGCGACCAGCTCTTATGGAAAACCGTGATTAAGTCTTGCACAGAATTAAGAAATGGGCTACTTGATAGGTGATAAGGTATATATAATGCAAATGTTTCAAGACCTGAAGAGAATGCTTTCGACTTTGAATTTGTTAGGTTGAGAACATCCTTGGATCTGAGAGGATGTTCTCTAGATAGCTGTAACACTAACATGTCCCCTTTTCTCATCTCAAAAATAAAATTAGTGGAAGAAACAACTGTCAGAGAGTTATGTCCCTTTGCTATGTATCATATCAAAAGTTCATCAACCAGTTTGTTGTAGTGCAACTTTGTAAGGATTATATTTCAATTTTATCAACCCATTATAAAATGAAATATAAACTTGATAGATAAAAGTAATAAATATTTTATGGCTTACCAACTCCTATAACATAAGAAAACCGCTGGTCAGCCGTTTTATTATCTGGCATTATTGCGCCAACTGTGACACATTACATGGTGCCTGTCATAAATATCTTGCTGTGTAAAGCCTCTAACATTGTTGGAGTAATGGCTGACCATACTTCAGGCAGTCGTGCTATGGTAGGTATGTGCTGAAGTTATATTAAGAAACACATATAACACGTGTTATATATGCCTCTGCTAAATGTAAAACTATTTTTACCGTCAAGTTTACTTTCCTGAAGCCAAAAATAATGTCGTCAATATGGACAAAACATATCTGTGTATGAAGACCGTGCAGGCACTCCTCCATCAGACGCTGGTACGTGGCGGACGCATTTGCGAGTCCAAAGTGGTATGTTGCGGCTAGTATTTTACCAGGGTTACATACTCCCCCTCCAGGAAAGAACTCGTCCTCGAGTTTCCAGGGGTCACTGCGATGCCGATGGGGCATGGCTAAGTACTAATCCCGGGTCCCTACATGGGCGCCAATTGTAACAGAGGTCATTTTTCATCTCAATGCCTCCGCTTGGAATCGAACCCGGGACCCCTGGCTTACTAGTCTGACGCTCAACCAATCGAGCTAAAGAGAAGTTCTCTCTAGCCAAGTGGTATGTTGCTGCTAGTATTTTACCAGGGTTACAGTAGCTTTGTTCAGTTTAATTTAGATATATACATAAATATCTGCATATGACAGATTTGCCCAACCTGATCATAATTACCAATAGACTGAGTTGTGTCCAACCCAAATCAACAGGTTGGGCACAGCCCTGCATATGGATAATAATTTGCAAAACAAAAAATAACAAGATTTATAAGGAGGTTATTAACGCAAACAATATTCCAGGTTACCATTAAAAGTGTAGCAACACCACTTTAAACTACATAAAAACGATCACTAAAAAACCTAGACGAAATTATTTAAGCGACAACTTTCACAACGATTTTGTCCTGGGCCCATTTCGTCGTGTCTGCCCGTACGTTTTCAATTCCTTCCTTTTGGCGTTCAACACTTACCTCCCCGATTAATAGACCCATGACTTCCTCCCGTTCTGTCGATAAAGCGTGGGTTAGACAAACCATATAAGCATCAGTTTCTAGATGAACACAATTGATAGCCATTTTTCCTGTGTTTTGAGATAAGAGAATGACTAAACATAAACCGGAAATGCGCCTTTTTTACCTTACACACAGAAGAGTAAATAGAGACTACTAAAATCAGGAATCCTGACCGGTATTAGTACAATTTTAGCGGAATCAAATTAGTACGATGTTGGAACGATTACAATTGTTTTATTTTTATCAAGTTTGAATTGTTCTAATGATAAATACTATGAAGTTCTGATGGTCATTATTTCTGTTATGGTCTGTGACGAATTTTCAAAAAGCAAGCGATATATTGCTGCACTTCTGTTGCTATAGACGTTAGAATATGGGTAAGCGAAAATGTTGAGGTTCTTTTTTACCCTGCTTATCTCCCTTTAACTGTTTTATTAATATGCAAACAGTATAATACTTTGATGATAACAATAATAAAAGTAATCTGAAAATGTTATTTTTAGATGAGTTCAATGGATCAAACACTCCATAGCAACCCAATAAACTGTTGTGTTTGCTAAAGTTTACATGAAAATATTCTGAAATTTAATTTTCAACAACTTTATTTAAATATCATCCCCAGGGTGATTATTTTCATAATTAGTCTTCTTATTATATAGATATAATTGATGTCTGATGTCGGGACAGTATACAATATATCTACTGTTTTGATGTCTGCTTACAATATTGTTATCATCGCCGTTATACCACTGTGTTTGCTTTTCTCGTACACAACTCACTCATTTTAACAGAATCATATAGTCAGTTTTAAAACAAGTATTAATAACATATCAACAAAACAATAATTTTCAATGTGAATTTAATTTGATATTCACATAGTACATCACTAGGAGACAAAATTTGTTGTAAAACGTTCAGAGAATTCAACCTACATGTATGACAAGTTACAAAGCGACTGAATGTCTAGACCCACTTTCCGGACGTTCGGTTGGGGTTTGGGTTCGGCACAAGATAAGGTAATTTGAGTTGTTGATTTCCATGGAAATGAAAGTTTACATTGGAAATGACGATTGTGTCACAAGTAAACAACCCCTTATTTTTTTCATTTTTTTTTTTGTTTTTGTTTTTATTTACAGGGTTTTATAATTGGTCAATGTTATAAGAGGGTTTGTGTTCTCTCTTTACATTGGTGGATGTCTACAAGTGAAAAATAACAAGAACGCGATATCATAAATGTGATAGTTCTCTATGTTTCACTAGCTAAAGATGCAATAAAAATATATCATATTTATACATATATAGTACAACATACTTCTCTGAGAAATTCTCAAAATGAAATCGTGTGTCGGATATAGATTTAAAAGCGCCCGAAATTCACACTTTGTAAACATGCCTCCATTCTGTACTGCATTCCGTTGAATATTCGATGGATGTCGAACAAAAGGAGGAAAATCTTTTCGGATTTTCTATGAAAGGCCGGTTCTTTACTACAATTCGCCGAGTTTGATTTCGAATTAAAGTTTTTTCGTAAAACTATTTTCCTATTGCGAAATCCACACATACAAACCATTAGCTCTGCTCTCAGTCTGAGGGAAACAAGTAAAATCGAATAAAGCCCCCAAAATGACTTTATCAAGAGGACTACCAATCATAAGTTAACAGAAATGGTCCGAGGTGGGACAATAGTAGCTATCAATGTCAATCTCGACAAATTTCCTTTAACAATAGACTTAGTTTCTAATTCTGGAATGTAGACGTAATCAATCTCCTCCTACCAGTACAAGTCGTAGAATCTGTTTCTCTTTTCAAAGTGCCAGTTATAGTATTGTACAGAGAAATAGATAACTTTATTTTAAAACGTTATGTGAAGTATAGTGAAGTTAAATAACAACACTGTCACACTATGTTGATGTTTTGAACATATTAATTGTTTATGTTTATATCACAAATGTTTGAATTCAAAGATATCAGCGTTCATTCATTGATCATGATGTAAACACGAATCACAACGTGTGATATTGTTGACTTCCTGTCCTATTCTAATGAAGTGAAGCTAACCTTATCTGAAAGAGAATGTTACAGATTAAGTGCCAGAGCACTAGAGGTAATTTTAAAGAGATTAAGAAATTCACTTTACCAATAGATATATATTCATAAATATTGCCTGACTCTCGGTATATTACATTAGTGTATGTAGTAGGACTGTTTTTTATGGATTTAACATATTGATTAGAGATGTCTAAATGTAGCCGTTTTGTTTCTTATAGCCCTTGTTTAAACGGTTTCCTAGATTATATATCATTTTTGTTATATTGACCTAATGTGACCTTTAAGATGTATATCAGCGAGACTTTACTAACATCCAGTATCTGTAACTGTTTCTTGATTGTTCTCACACCCGGATGATTTGAATGAAAACATAAAGTTGGTGGACCTCGTATATTTAGCCTTTACATTCAGTTAGAACGTTATTAAAGATGATTTTACAAGTGAACAAAAGTACAATTTAGGAATATATTATCAGACCTGTAGTAGCTGTAGTTACAGTTTGGTGTATTTGATTCGTTTTCATAAAGAAATATACATACTATTGAAACGATAATGAGATTCAAGGATGACCACGATTTCACGTGTCGCAAAGTTACAACACACAGGCAGGGATTCCCTTCATCAAACTGACGGTGAAAGTTACAACACACAGGCAGGGATTCCCTTCATCAAACTGACGGTGAATGACCACGACTTCACGTGTCGCAAAGTTACAACACACAGGCAGGGATTCCCTTCATCAAACTGACGGTGAATGACCACGACTTCACGTGTCGCAAAGTTACAACACACAGCCAGGGAATCCCTTCATCAAGCTGACGGTAAATGTTACAACACACAGGCAGGGATTCCCTTCATCAAGCTGACGGTGAATGACCACGACTTCACCTGTCGCAAAGTTACAACACACAGGCAGGGATTGCCTTCATCAAGCTGACGGTGAATGACCACGACTTCACGTGTCGCAAAGTGGATTTGACGGCGCAATATCGCTTTAAGTTTAATTATTTTTGGATTCAAGAATTATTTGAACTTTTAAGTAACCAATAGCAGGAAGTTTATTCAGGGGAGACTAAGAGCAAAATCAGCAAAAGTAACGACATTTGACCCCCACCACGAAAATCGCGTTACATGGGAAGGGCGATAACTCTGTATGCATTTCAAAGGACAAGTATTTCCCGCTATGAAATATATGGAAAAAAACACAAACATGTGGAAAATGCAGTAAAACGATGAAAAAGATGATATCCTTACATCCTCACATTACCCTGTACATGTAGTTTTCCTGTTGATGTTTTATTTGAACTACAATTTTAACCGGCTGAAAACAGAACTAGAGAAGAAGAAAAAATGTTCCCGTACTATTTTTCATTAAACGACTGTGTAAAATATAGAGAATGATACCTGACATCTCGTGTCAATAATGGTTATCTCCCCTACCATACGTATACAGAAACAGTTCGTATTGAATTTGTCCCGATAGCAACTCAATTCATCACCCCATGGGTCAATATTTCAAAGTCAGCAGTTATTACTGCAAGTCTAACGGACAGTTGAAAAAATATAGTCCGACTTTTCAAAATTTGAGGATGATCAAACAGTATTACTCTTGCCAAATACGATTATCGAACACAGAAAAATACCAGTACCATAGTTAGATTGTAATAATTCTTCGCGGAAGAATACCGTCTATAGTGAGTTTTACGGTCGTCTCCCGCTCCGATCCGAACTGGATGGAAGTCATTTTAAAAAAAAACTGTCATAGACTATGTTGCGGCCTTTTTTCAGTATGTATCGATGACATAAAGAGCTTAGTCAAGAAGTTCTGTTTCAGAATCGTTCAGTGGAATCTCTTGTTCGATATTTCCGTTCTTTGAAGGTTAGAAAATAATTTGTAGCAGACGATAACATGTCCGTGGTCTTATGCAATATAAAAACAAGGGAAAACTTTTACTAAATGTCATGTTTTGATTTATCTAACAATTATTATGTATACATTATCAGTTTATAACTTACAATTCTCGAGCAAATTTCAATACTTTTGTTGACAATTTAGCATCAAAAATGTGCAAGGGTTACCTCCCCTGACATAATCTGTAAAGGATGTATTCATCATACGCCAAGATCCTATTCATGGGTAACTTTAAAAAACAAGTTAAATTTGGGTTTTTGGGGGTTTTTTTTGTCCAACTTGAGTAGAATTTAAAAAATTATTGTAACATATTGCCTGCGACAGGGGAGATAACCCTTATCGACTAAACCTCCATCAAATTATTGTTATTATTATTCTCTTATTTCCTCAAAAAGTGTTATAAATTGAATAACACATTAAACATACAATCTTAGTTACAATTATATGATTACTTGTTCGATTTAAAGATATTTCTGATTGCTTTGTGTGGTAAATAACATTTCAGAGTACAGTAACGGATAGAAGATCAATATCGGTACAAAAAGTGATTATCAGTATAATAATACTAAACAGCAATATCGACATAAACAATTAAACATACAATATCAATATTTGAAATTATCAGTATTTATCTTGAAAATATCAGTATTATCAATATTAATTCGCCGTTGAAAATTGCAATCTTAGATTTGTAAAATAACGATATCAGTATTCACCATGAAAATTGCAAAAGAAATATTAACCACGAAAATAACAATATCAATATTTACCACGAAAACAAAGATATCTGTATTTACCATAAAAATTACAATAAAAATGTGTACCACGAAAATAACGATGTGGGTATTTACAATGAATATTACAATAGAAATATTTACCACGAAAATAACGATATCAGTATTAACCACGAAAATAACGATATCAGTATTTATCATCAAAATTACATTAGATGTATTTACCGTGAAAATTACAATATAAATATTTACCACGAAAATAACGACATCAGTATTCATCATGAAAATTATTATAGAAGTATTTACCACGAAAATAGCGATATCAGTATTTACCACGAAAATAACGATATCAGTATTTACCACGAAAATAACGATGTCAGTATTAA